GTCAGTGGAATCATTCCATAGGTAATATTTTGAGATTAGTTCTTTTTCATGCAGAATAATTCCCTGGAGATTCATACAAGTTGTTGCCCACACCTACATGGTGTTTCTTTTGCCTTCTGAGCCTTTCTTTGTTTGGACGGCATATGGATCATTTAATCATTCAACATCAAAGAACATCTGGGTTCATTCTAATTTTTAGCTACTAGGAATAAAGCTGCTATAAATATTCATGTACAGGTTTATATGTAAACACAAGTTTTAATTTCACAAGAGGGCAATTGCCGGGTTAATAATTGTTGCATACACAGTTGCTTCAAAAACTGTCAAACTCTTTTCCAGAGTGACTAGTGCATGTTGCATTCCTACCAGTAATGTATGAGCTCTGGTTTTTCTGTAACCTGTTTTAGAATTGTTATTTTTTTTTTTACTATTTTTATTTGCATTATTTGATGGGTGTGTAGTAATATCTCATTATGGTTTTAATTTGTATTTCACAAATCATCCAATGATACTGACATCTTTTCATGTCCTTGTTTGCCACCAATATACCCTGTCTGATGAATGACTATTTTAGCCTTTTGCCAATTTTAAAATTGGATTGTTTGTTGTTTTGCTGTTGTCTTTTGAGAGTTCTTTATATAACTTAGAGAATAGTCCTTTGCCAGATAGATTTTTTATAACTATCTTATCCCAGCTTGTGCTTCTGATTCATTCTCTGAAGTAGAACTTTTAGGATGACTTTTTTAATTTTGATAAGACCCATTAATTTATTTTTATGGATCATGCTTTTCCTGTCTGAGACCTCTTTGCCTAACCCTATAGCTTGAAAATTTCTCTTGATTTTTCCCAAATGTTATATGATTTTATATTTTAAGTTTATGATTTGATTTGAATCAGTTTTATATAGGTGTGTGACTTATGTCTAGCTTTTTATTTTATTATTTCTTTATGTACTCATTTATTTATTATTGGGTAATATATCCAGTTTTTCCCACACCATTTGTTGAAATGGTGATCTTACCTTTTACCCATATTATTGAATTATTTTATCCATATTAAAAAAAAATCAGTTGGACATATTTAGTTCTCTGTTCTATTTGATTGTCCAGTTCTTCCTTAATGCTACACAGTTTTAATTACTAGAGCTATAAAATAAGTACTAAAGTTGGGTAAAACATTTCCTCCTACTTTATTCTTCTTATTCACAACTATTTTAGCTATCTAATTCTTTTTTTACTTTTGTGTTTTATAATAACCTTGAATAAATCCACACAAATATTTCTGTGGTTTTGATAGTGTTACAGGGCAGGGTGAGGGGCACCCCAGAACCCCAAAACTTACACACTCTAAATAGCTTCTGCCATCCACCGAACCAAATCAAAACATACTCTAGTGTGTAAGACCTTTAGTGGAAAGCAACTTGAATACAATTAATGTGAAACAAATAAAAGACCAAAGAATGTTGTTTTCAAATCAAGCACCTGAAATTACCCACCCTATGTGGGTAAATGCCCAGCCACACAGGGTTGGCCTGAAGCAGGGCCACTGCAGTCTGAAAGCTGCCACAAGGGTAAGGCACCTTCTGATGGGGTCCCATAGAAAAGAGTGAGAAATAGCCAGACAAGTCTGGGAGGAAAATAGCAAAATCAAAATCAAGATAAAAGCTGCCATTGTCACCTCCCCACGGGTCTCTCACCCACGTCTGTGTTACCCAGTCCAGGACCAAGAAGCAGGCGCAGCTTCTCCATGCGTCTCTGCTCCATGTGGGTCTCCATTCTTGTTCTCTAGCTTCTCCTTCCTGCTCGGCTCCCCCTTCCTTGGGTGTGGCAGGGAACCTGGAACCTCTCTTCCCCTGTTATAATAGGAATTTTGTTAGAAAGATTAACATACTGTATTGAGTCTCCAATGCATGACTGTAATTAATCTTCATTTCTTGAGATCATCTGTCATTTCCTTCATCAGTGTTCTGTTGTTTTCAGTGTATAGCTCCCTTGCATGTCATGCTAGATACACATAAGTATTTCATGTTTTGTTAATTTTTAGATTTGCTATTTTGAACTGCATTGAATTGTTTTGACTTCATGTGAGTTCATTGTTAGTGATGGAGATGGGAATAGGAAAAAAACTGAAAATGAGGCGCCACAAGACCAGAAACCCGGCTCACACAGGAGTCGGGGCAGAAGGGATGAGCACAGCCATTGGCCCCACTATGGACACCAAGATCCGCAGGCGCCAACCCCTAGATCACAAAGCGTAACATTCAGGCAGGTATCCTGGGCTCACCCAAAGGTAAAGCTATGGAGATTGAGCCCCTTGTGGAATCTCAGGCCCCTTTCAGATTCTGCAGAGTCATCCAAAGTCAGCAGCTAACCCGAGGCTCACAAGGAGGGGCCCCTCCCAAACAGAAGACTACATCAGTGCAGTCTCTGCACAGGCTGGGGCAGCACTCCCTCTGCCCACCTGTGCCTATGCAGGTGCCTCTTCTCACCAACTCCCTGCCCGTGACCTGTCAAGGCCGCCCACCTGCAACCACGCAGGCCTCTCTCAGCAAACCAGTCCCTTTGGAGCGGCTCTTCGTGCCTGCTTGTGTCATGCAAGTGTCTTTAACTGTTTTATCCCTTCCCTCATAAAACTGCCCTTTAAATATAATGACTGTCTCTGTCTCATGGAGAAACTCGTCTGGGAAACTCACTGCGTGTCGCTGAAACAGGAACTCTGGGGAACACCTTTCCCAGAGTGAGCCCCAGGACCCCACACCCCAAAACCACTGACTCCAAAAATGACAACAGTTCCAGTATCCTGGAACTTTGCTGAACTCACTTTTAATCTCAAGAAGGCTTTTTTTTAAAGCAATTCTTTATGATTTTCTCTGAGCAGTCATGTCATCCGCAAATAGAACATTTTCTTTCTCATTTTTTGGAGTTTCCATAAAAGCATAGTGCTCCATATCCACCATCATGAGACCATACAGAAAGGTCCAAGTCTAAAAAAAAATGTGTAGCCTGTTGATAGGGAACATGGTTTCTTCCTTTAGTCCTTGACAACCAATGATCTCTTCCATCCCTATGTTTTGCCTTCCTCAGAACGCCCTGCCAATGTATTCACACAATATGTCAACTTTGGGTATGGAATTTTTTTCCACTTAGGAAATGCATTTAAAAAAATAAATAAATGAAAAAAGAGAAATGCATTTAATTTCCCTACAGGGAATTTTTGGAACGCATGGTTTGTCCCTTTTAGTTTTTCCGTATTCTATTTTGTGGAGGCGCCATAATTTACTCACATTTTGTAGATGACTTGCTGGTTTCCAGTTTCTGGAAATTTTGAATAATATGCTATAAATATCAGTGTACTGCTTTGTGTGTATGTGAATGTTTTTAATTCACCTGCATACATATGGAGATATAAATTTCTGGGTATGGTAAGGGTGTGTAATATTTCCTAAGAATCTTTCCAACAAGTATCCACAGTATCAGACCAATTTCACACTCCTGCCCACAATGACTGGCTGTTTCTGTTTCTCTGGAGTCTCTGCAGCATTTTCTATCACAGAATCCCCTTCCAGGGCCACATTTTAGGAAGCGGCGCGGGATGAGAGAGAGTACTCAAGGTCCAAGTGGAGAGAGGTCTAGAGGGGCTCACACCAAAAAAAGTGCAGCCCTGATCGCTGGACAGTCTCGTGCTTATTTAGAGCGAGGTTGAGAGAAGCACGGGCAAGCACATGGAGGCTGGTACCTGCTTGGGTGACTGTTGGGGACAGATTACCTTCCGGTGCAGGGAAGGGTGGAGTGACCAGGGGCTGTTGCCTGGGGGTCTTCATTGTTCCCTTTGGTGGAAGCATTTAATCTCTATTCTAATTTCTGCCTGCTGTTCTCAGAGACACTGGTTTCCCAGTGTTTTCCTCCTACCGGGCCCCCTGCACGACCCTACACCTCGCCTGACTAGCAAGCTCTGGGCACCAACACAATATCCCTGGGAACAAGGAGGGCCAAGGGTTCCACATCGCACAGTGTTTTTTATTTACTCTAATTATAATCCGTGATGGCATTTCATCATGATTTTAGTTTTCCGAGCATTTTCAATTTGAATGAATTATAATCTATCATTTTTTTTTTCTCTTTTGTAATGTTCCTCTGGGTCCTATTTGAGAAGATGTGGCCAGATCACGGTCTTAAAGATTTTCTCTTTCAAGTTTAATAAATTAACTATTTTTTTTATATTTAAGAGCCTGAAAAAGACGCATTATGTATGTCATATGTATATATATATTTTTTCTTATAGTTGTCCCATAGTCCATTTTTTTTTCCCTGAAAGGGCTTTTATTCTTTCAATTGGATTACCTTACAACTTTGTTAAAAAACCAGTCTGGGCCTCCCCAGTGGTGCAGCGGGTTGAGTGCAGTGCCGTGAAGCTGTCCACAGCCTCTGCAGCGCGGGTTTGATTCCCGGCCAGCCAGGGAGAGACCCACATGGCGCAGCAGACCTCTCTTGACTCGCCCGCTGCTCCCCTAAGCAGTGTGTTTCAGTCAGTCTACCTGTTCTTTTCCCCACTCTGTCTCTGGTGAATCCCCTCACCCTCCCGCTCCTCTGGCCTGTACCCCAGCTCTTGTATAAAAATAAATAAATCTGGGCCTCCCCGGTGGCGCAGCAGTTGAGCGCTGGGTTGGGAAGCTGCCCGCGGCCTCTGCGGTGCCGGTTCGATTCCCGGCTGCTCCCTGGCCACCAGAGGAGGGTCCCACATGGCGCGGAGACCTCTCCTGCCGCCCGCTGCTCCCCTCAGCAGTGTACTTCGGTCCTTCTGCCTGCTCTGCTCCCTGCTCTGGCTCTGGTGAATTCTCTCACCCTCCCGTGCTTCTGACTGTACCCAGTGCATGTGTATAAAAACAAAACAAATAAACTAACTAAATAAATAAAAAATAAAACATGCCTCTTAAAAAAAAAAAATAAATAAATAAATCTTTAAAATAAATAAATAAATAAATAAACAAACAGCCATGAGCCAAGCTTACCTGGCAGGGAAGATAAACATGATCACAAAGGTGATTTTCTTCCCAGGGAAAGACTTTTCCATGGCACTCTGGATATGCTAACACCTGTCTTTTCCCTAAATGTGGGAAATACGATTGCATAATTTGTGGTAGTGGGGGGACTGTGTTCAGAGTCCCCATGCTCTGCCCTGGGTGGGGGGCGGAAATCAGTACATTGAATTTTGTCTTTCTTTACACAAATGCCACCCTGTGTTTGTTATGAGGCTATTTGGTAAATCTTGAAGTCAAGTACTGTCATCCTCCAACTTAGTTATTTCTTTCAAATACAATTTTGAAATTCCATATAAATTGTGGGAAAAACTTGTCCATTTCTACAGAAATTCCCCTGAAATCTTGAATAAGGATGAACTATTGAATATATGTACTGAGTCCAGATATTGCATGTATTGCCAATGTTAGGGAAGAGCATTCAGTCAACATCAGCTATGATGTTGGCTTTTGGAAGATGTCCTATATCAAGTTGTAAAATTATTTTATGAGTATTCCGATAGTTTTTGTCATGAATTGGTGTTGAATTTCTTAGATTGCTGTTTTTTGGATCTATTAAGGAATGGATTTTCTTTTTAATTCTGTTGATATAGTGATTTACAATGATTGATTTCCAAATGTTAAAACAACCTTGTATTTCTTGTGTAAACCCAAGGAACTCATGGTGTACATGAGTTGCTAATTTGTTAAATATTTTTGTATACACATATACTCATAAGAGATATTGGTGTTTAGTATCCTAATTTTCAGATGTTTCTGGTGTTCATATCAAGGTAATAATGTCTTAGCAAAACAAGTTTATGAGAATGTGTTCCTTTTCTATTTTTGTAAAAGGAAAAATATGTAGAACTTATATTATTATTTCTTCCTTTAAAAGTTTGGTATAACTCATCAGTGAAGTCACTTGATCTTACAGTTTTCTTAGTGGAAGTCTTTTAATTAAACATTTCCATTTCGAATATATCTATTCAGATTTTCTGTTCCAAACTTTTGTATGACATATTTTTCAAAGGATTTGACAATTTTGCCTATATTATCAAACATTTTGACAAAAATTATTAATAATATGTATTTATTATACCTTAAAAACATGAAGACTATTATAGTGATATACTGTTTTTTCCCCAATGTGGTAATTTTCATCTTTTTAATTTTTCTTTATACTAACTTTAGTATATCAATTTTACTGATATAAAAATATTTCTATGTGGTGTGAATTTTATTTATTTTTGGTATTTTTTAAATTTAGGTAACATTGATTCAAAACCAAAAGGGTTGGCACGGTAAAGAAAAGGAAAGTCAGGCTAAGTTTCTCACAAGCAAGAAATTTATTGCGCTCACGGGGGAGGTCGGGGAAGTCGCACCTGTAGGGGGATAAGGGCAAGCTTTTGTAGAGCAGGGTCTGGCCTTTGAGGGAGGTGGAGAATGCGGAGTTGAAGTTGCCTTTCAAAGAAGGTTTTTATTATTATTGTTGTTGTTGTTGTTATATTCCCCATACAATACAATTGCACTGGTGGTTCGTTCAACGCTGCTTATCAGGGCCCGTGCAAAGCGGGCAGAGCCGGCTCCTGGGATGCAGGTGGCAGCAGTTTCAAGATCCCCACCCACCCACCCCATCTTTGCCCTGGCCTCGACCTTACAAAAACACTCTTGGAAATACTGTGGGATTTAGAGATAAAGGATCACATAGACAAATAATTTTTAGGGTCATTGAATTTCTTTAATTATTTTGTGTTTCATTCCAATTTTCATTGCAAGTTTTATAATTTATTAAGGGAAAAGTTTAGGCATTTACCTTCATTTCTCACATAAGAATTTAAAGACAGATAATTGTCATTATGTCCTGATTTATCTGAATTTTAGTTTTGTGATTTTTTATTTTCATTCAGTTCAAAACATATTTTACTTTCCTTGGTAATTTATTTTTTTTCCTTACTAGAAATGTGGTGTTCAATTCCCAAATAATTGAGAATTTTATATGTGTTCTATTAATTTTTAATTTTATGTCATCTGGTCAATGAGTAGTCTCATGTTTTTCCCTTTTTAAATTATTTGAGGCTTCTTAAATTTCAGGCTATACTGTCTTAGGTGAATGTTTTAGTTATAAAAAAAAAAGTTGTTACTCTCTATGACATGTATTGTGATATTTGAAGGGTATTACATAAATGTCAAGTAAACCAATTTGGTAGATACTGCTATTTAAGTTCTCTATCTCCTGACCAACTTTCTGTCTACTTCCATGTCTAGTAATTTTTCATTTGATGCAGAACACTATTAATTGTTTCAACATCTGGATTCTTTGTCGTCTTAAATTCTATTGCCTATATGTTTTAAATTATTCATTTACTGGAAGATCAATTTGTACTGTGACAAACTTGCTGTTGAGGTTATATTAAAGTGTTGCAGATCAGGTCTGGAGCTGTGTATATTATATAAATAGTTTATTTTTACTGTTAAGATGTGACCTTTCTGAGGTTTGGCAGAGTTATAAGGTTTTCAACAATATAACTCCCCTTGGGTTGTTTGAATTTCAATTTTCCTGGTGGCTTGTGTGTTCTGGAACTATTCAACTCTCATCAGCCCAGTACTTCTTTGCCAGAGTTTATGGCATTTTATAAACCCATTTGTAGCTTATGATTCAAAAACAAAAAGACAGTACCCTCCATACTCCTTCTTCCTGTCATTTCCAGTCATGCATACATCATAATTTTACCCACTTTCTCAGTGCAGTGAAACCCCAGTGTTTTTCTTGGGGTACTCTGTCTCTGTTATTACTTGGAAACTATCTCTAGGCAGAAGACTGAGGTAATTGAAGGTGTCACTTCATTTTTCTCCCTTTTCTTTTTTCTTTTTTTTTTGTTATTTGTTCAGTGACTGAAAACATTTTTCTGTCTACGTTTCCAGTCACCGCTTGGTGGGTACTGTGGAATGGTTGCAACAAAAACCCAAATACACTTTGAAGTTACCATTTTTGCAGAAACCCAATTACACTTTAAAGTTATTATTTTTATACTTTACCACACTGATTTAAAATAAAACCTAAATTCTAGTTCTGCATTTGCCTTTAGTGCATTTATGTTCTTGGGAACTTTTACTTAAAATATTAAATTCTCTTTATAAATTGAAAAACTAATGAAGATGATTATCACTGTTTTAAAGATGTATAACTATGTTGTTGAGAAGAATATGTTAAAATAATTTAGAAAAAATACAGTTGTAACTACCTAACACAGTACCTGGCATAATAACATAATCTACCAAAAAGTCTATGTTTCTCTCCCACATAAATTTTGCTGTCATCTAGGATTAATATTTAGGTGTGGCATATACATCTATTCCCTCATTTCTCTAGATTTTTAAGTCAACAGTTGAAAACTTAGTATACAAAATGCATTTTCCTGTGGTGTACAATGTTGGCATGCAGTCCCCTCCTCTCATTTGTGTATATATTTAAATCATATTTATGAAATAACTTTATTTAAACAGGGAGGTGACATTTGGCCAACATACATTTGTGTCTTTCCCCCTTCTTACTTACTATTCCAGTCATGGCCACATGAGAAATTCCCATCCAAAGATTTATTCAACACACCTGGATAAGAGGTTTTGATTTTTCCCCTCTTCATTTGGGATACCAAAATAGAAAGTAGCTATTCCAAATGGCCATCACTTAAACAAGAGGTGATTTATTACATGTAGACTAAAGGTTCTTTCTCCACAGAGCGAGTCTATGCAGGCAACAAGTCAGGCAGTTGCAGCTTCCCAGTGAATTCTCCAAACCCCTTAGATTGTCATACAGGTCCTTCTGGTATCAGACTATCAGTGCACTGGAGGAAGGATTAAAGACAGACCTGCTGACTTGGAGACCAACACAGCACTCCCAAACATAAGGAAAGAAAGCTTCTCACCAGTGAAGATAAGCATTCTGCAAAATCAAGCCCAGTGAGTCAAAGTACACTTGCCACTGGGTGGATGTGGTGGGAAGGCTACTCCTCTCCCTCAGGCGTCAGGCAGAGCAGCAATGGAATCAATCAAGTCTGTGATACCATGCCCGTGGTCCTGGACATGGGAAATGTGTAATGTTTGAGACTGTGCTTCCCTTGAAATAAGGTCAGTTCATAAATAGTCCTGGTGTAGGCAGGTGTTAGCAGATGTTGCATCCACTAACGCAAAGATAAAAGGTGAAAAAGTCCCTGCTCATTTTCTCTCACTGACAATACTTTCCAGATAACATCTAAAGTGGCAAAGTGACAACTTGAAATGGGCCTGGAACAGGGCACAGGTCGCCTGGAATTTGGTGTGTTTTGAGAGAGAAAGGAGTTATTCATTTTGTTAGGGACTATATTTGGCAAACTATTTCATTTTAATGTATTCAAACTATAGAAGAAGAAAGCTACTCAGAAATTGGGTTGTCTGGAACAGATATAAATAAAATTTGCAAGGACACATTTTAAATAAATTGGCAAAAAAAATGTTACGAACGTGAAGACAGAGTCCTGTATTTACAGGTACACACATTTTAAGACAAAGGCAACAATTACACATTCTGTATTAGAGGTGGGGAGAGCGGGAGAGCGTCTGAGAAGGAAGTCTGCTGACCATGGAAGGACAACACTGTGTGTATTTCAGGGGACTCCAGAAGGCATCAGTGAGTGAGGTTGACCAGCTTGGCCTCAGGTGAGCCCAGAAGCCAAGCACCTTATAAAGGCAAAAGCTGCTCACAGCGCCACGTCAGTTCACCAGCCTTGCCATTTCACATTAGATGAGCTGGATGTCCCAATTTTGACATAAAATATCCCATTTCTAAATGAAAAAAGCTGCTTAGTTTTTCATATTTATGGAAGAATAATATAAATACAGAAAAATAAACCCTTAGTAAATTTTAGCATTCACAAAATGCCAGCATTAAGAGAATCCAGTCAAAAAATATAAAATGATCAATTCTATAGACACCACCATCCTTTTCACGTGAGGAAGGCATATTTTACTTCCAGGCCTTCAATTTTCAATCTCTGCTTTTTGCTTTTCATTCCAAAGCCCTCTTGAGTTCCCATTAAAGAAACTGGGAGAGTCAAACAAGACCCAGGGATCTGAAAAATCTTTCACTGTCTTTGTCTCTTCTGGACCAGATG